TCAAACACAATGGGCTCAAACATAAGAACAATTCTGAGGATGGTGCCAGATTGGGCGGTGTTTTGTTCTGTGTTACATAGAGTCATTGTGAGTTGGAACTGACACAACAGCACCAAGCAACAATGATGTTATATGTAGAAAAGGCCAGACTCCACACACAAAAAATTGGAAGCATTTGAGGGATTTGGTAAAATAGCAGGATAAAAGACTAACGCCTCAGAAATCAATTGAATTCCTAGATACCAGCAAAGAAAGCTTTGAAACATACATCAGGAAGATGATGCTCTTTACAATAGCCACTCAACAGATGAAATACTTAGGAATAAACCTAGCCAAAAGAAGAAAAGCCTGTACAAAGAAAGCTACAGAAGAAACTTACATAAATGTAAGAATAATCCCTTTTCATGAATAGGAAGGCTTAACGTCGCCAAAATGTCAAAACTACCTAATACACTCTAGAATCACGGCACAATTCCAATCAAATCCAAACTTCATTCTTAAAAAGAAAAAAGGAAAGAAAAACTAATCACCAACTTCATATGGAAAGGGTAGAAAAGCAGAAAATTCTTGAAAAGTAGAAGTAGGAGACTTCTCACTAGACAACCGCACAGCCACAATAGTCAAAACCGCCTGCTCCTGGTACAATGATAGATACATAAACCAATGGAACAGACTAGAACACAGAGAAATAAATGTTCCCCCTACAGGCAACCAATTTTTGACAAAAGGCATAGAAGCATTAAATGAGAAAAACACAGCTGCTTTAACAAATGATGCTGGCCAAATTGGGTGTTTGCGTGCAAAAGAATGAAGCAGGATCCATACCTCACCTTATGTACAAAAACAAATTCAAGATGTATCCGAGACTTAAATGTAAATTCTAGAGCTATAAGGATCATCAATGAGAAAATTGGGACAAACTTAAGAGCCCTGTGGCAGGGCTTACACAGACTACTGAATTTGATTAAGGAAGGCCACACAGTTGAAGACAAAATAGATGACTGAGACTAACTAAAAGTAAGACATTTTTGTACATCAAAAGACTCCAGCAAGACAGAAAAAATAAAACCGATGTACTATGATAAAACCTTTAGTCATGACACAAAGGACAAGGAACTAATTAATGAAATGTATAGAATTTTGCAACACCTCAATAAGAAAAAACAATTCAATTAAAAAGTTGACAGAACACATGAACAGAGAGTTCCCCCTCCAAATTGCACTCAAATGGCTAACAAGCACATAAAAACATACCCATGATGACTATCCATCCTGGAGATGCGAATTATAACAATGATGAGATATTACCTTACAACCATAGTAATATCCCCATTTTAAAAAAATGGAAAACAACAAATGCTGGATAGGGTGTGGAGAGATTGGAGCACTAATAACTGTTGGTGGGCTTTTAAACAGGTGCAACCATGACGGGAAAACAATATAACCCTTTCTGAAAGAATTACTAATAGAAATCCCATAAGACCCAGCAATCTCTCCGCTGGTTATACACCCCAAAGAAGTAAGGGACACAACACAAACAGACGTATGCTCTCCCATGTTCATTGCAGCACAGTTCACAAAATCAAGAAGTTGGAAACTTCCCCAAAGCCCATCAGTTGGAGAATGGCTAAAGAAGCAGAAACATACGACTGAATAGTATGCATCCTCAAAAAACAGGGATGAAACCATGAAACATCTCATGATATGGGTAGACCTCGAAACCATTATGCTGAGCCAAGCTACTCAATCACAAGACAAATATTATATGAGACCACTACTATAAGGATAAACACCAAGAAAAAGACAGGCTTCTGTTTCTCAGTTCATGTAATCGTCTAATCCATTCTCCCATATCAGTGAAGTGGTGTGCCTCCCTGATGCTCATGATCTATGTACCACCCCTTTACTTGTACATCTTACGAACCACTTCAATAGAGGAGGCCTCCACTTCAAGTGGAGTCAGTTTCTCACATTGGACATCAACAGACACTCCTACAAGGGTGGTCAGTGAACCTTAATGGAAATTCAAGTCCAAAGGTTTTCAGCCGCATGGCTGTCTAGGAGAAGGTAATTTTATTTCTGTTGGTGGGTAAACCATGTGGGACAACCAGTCATTAGGAAAATCTCCAAATTTTATTACGTAGACCCACCACCACTTGTGTTTCAGTTTGCAGCATTGTGATTCTTTCTGTGGTGCTGTGATGCTAGAAGCTATGTGACTGGTATTTCAAATGTCAGCAGCATCACCCAATGGGAACACCTTTCAGTGGAATTTCCAGACTAAGAACAGACTAGGAAGAAGGACTCTGCTGCCCACTTCGGAGGAAGTAGCCACTGAAAACCTCATACATAATGTTGAATATTTGTTAGATACTGAAGGTCTAAGCAATGGACGCAGAACATTGTCAGAGACAGTGCCCCCTAGAGTGGCCCCCTAGAGTCAGAAGGTACTTGAATTATGACTGAGAAGAAGCTGCTTTCTCAAAGTACAGTCAACCACGGTGACATGAATGGAACAAAGCCTGTGAGAGTGGAACTTAATTCTTGATCAGGAGAGGACAAGTGAAACAAATTGGGGGTATATGCATAAAATAATACGGAGTTGTCCGCATAGAATACCTAAAACATATATTATAACAAGGTACAAAGAACAGTAAGAATAATTCCCTACCATTCTGTTAAAAGGGCTGGGGGATATACACACATATTTTTACAAAATTCATACTTAGAGTATTTCAAGGAAATAGCTTTTAACTATAGTTTTAGACTTTCATGAGACCAGCTGAACAGCTTGGTAGGGTGCGGAAGAGATACTGTGTACTGTTTGCGTCTTTTACTGGATATATATATATATATATATATATATATATATAACCTATTCAGAGACTGTTAAAATAATAATTGCACAGATTGTTTCATGGAGAATGGGTTGAAAAGAGTGAGAATGGAAGTGGGGAAAGAATAGATCTGAAATGACCATGTCTTGGACTAAGATGGTAGCAGTAGAGATGGAGAGTAAAGGATAGACCTTGGCCATTTTTAGGGGTAAAATTGACCAAACAAACAAACAAAATTGCTATCGAGTAATTTCTGACTGGGGTGGGAGAGGGTGCTGTCAAAAGGTGGTAAGAGGGAAAGAGATTAAGGTTGATAACTATGAAGTTTTTAGATAAAATTAATAATAATGAGACCTTTGAGGACTAGAAGCAATACCACAAAATAATTTATCTCACTCTAATTTGCCATAGAGTCAATGCTGACTCTTAGCAAGCCTCTGTGGGTTTTAAAGACTGTAACTGTTTACAGGAGTAGAAAGCGCAGTCTTTCTTTCAAGGAGCTGATGTTTTTTAACTGCTGATCATGCAAACATAACTCATAACCATCATACAAATGGCATAAGAGTGACCCTTTGCATAGGAGTTAGCACATTGGGGTGCTAACTCCAGGGTCAGCAGTTTAGAACTACCAGCCAACTCATGGGAGAAAGATGCGCTCTCTACTCCTGTAAACATTTACAACAGGGGTGCTCACATTTTTTTTTCAGCATATGAGCTACTTATAAAACGATCAAGTCAAAATGATCTACCACTACAAAAGTGCATAACATATATTTATTTTTATTTATTCATTACATTTATTCATAAATACATTGAGAATTCTTTATATGTGCAATGTATGTTTATGTACCTTGCATAACCATGAGTCCATATTGCACAACACAATACAATTAATTATGCACATTTTTTGTCATTACCTGAGTTTACTCTGATGACTTGCACTGAATGGAATGAGCCAGGGATGCATAGTCAGGACAGGAACTGCTGACAGCCAGCCTCAAGCACACTTCCAAATGATCATCAGTCATGGTGGAACGGTACTTGGACTTAATGATCTTTATGTGGGAAAAGGTTGACTCACATAAATAAGTAGAGCCGAATAACGCAGTCAAGGAGGTAGCACATTTTCTCATGTTTGGGTACTTTCCCTCTGCCAGTAAGTTCCAGAACTAACTGTTCATGCGCTCTGGACTTCAGCTGAATGTCGGCTTGTAGTGTCAAAATCTCCATATGAAAGTGATAGGTTTTTGTCTTCTTACTTGGTACAGCTCCCCCACTCCTTTTAATACCCTTTCTTATGTTTAAGAGAAAAAAACAAAATCTAAAATTTGGCAGTAACTTAGCTTGTCAGTTTTGCTGCACTTAGCACAGTTATTTGCACAAGCGTTTGACACCTAAGATTGCATCTGATTGGCAGCGCTGTATATCAATTAAGCGACAGGATTGATGATATGCTTACATCTATATTTTTTAATGCCATGCGATTGACTTATTGAGCACCCCTGATTTAAAATCTTGGAAACCTACAGTGGCAATTCTAGTCTGTCCTACAGGGTCACTATGAGTTGGAATCAAGTCAACGGCTGTGAGTTTGGTGTGTTTTGGGGGAATGATCTCGCAATTTTCTTTAGTATGACAAGTTGAAAGTATAAGGTCCCTAGGCACATTGTACACTATGCTTTGCTGCTAACCTAAAATTTGGTGTTCAAACCCACACAATAATAGCAAAAAACTTAGCAGTCTTCTTCCACTAATATTGTAATCAAGACCCTTCGCATAGGAGTTTGCACATTGGGAACTCAAGTAAGCCCTATGGAGCAGTTCTGCTTCATAACGTTGACAGGGGGTCACCATGAGTCAGAAGAGATTCTATAGCAAAAACAAATCCATCTCGTGTGGATTAGAATTGTAATGCAAATAAGTTTTGAAACAAAATCTCAGATATGATTTAGGCAGTCTTTTATTGTTGTCAGTTTCTAGGCAGAAGTTTCTATTTTTCAGTTAAGAACTTTTAAGCAGTTTTTTTTTTTCTGTGAAAGACCAATATTCTGATTTGGACTATTCTTAGACTTTGTGCTAGGCATATTTGTTCTAACCAGAATATGCATGGGTAGATGCTTTGTGATATTTAAATTTATCCAATTTGTTTGTTTTTCCTTTCAGGAAGCAGAAGCCCAGGCAAAGCAAAAGCAGCAAGAATGAACCTTGAGCATTCCCTTTCAAACTTCCTGAAAAGGAAATCTCCAGTGCTGTTATAAAATAGAAAACAACAACAACAATAACAATTATATTGGCTTCAAAATAAATTGGCTTACTATGAAAATATATATTATTTGCTGGTTTTTATGCAAATAACCTAAATGAATGTGTAATTAAAATGTGACTTTTAAATGAGGAGAACAAATAAAAACAAAAGCTAAATATATGTCATGGAATAGTATTATCTATCAAGGCAATGTATGTACGTCAATGATTTTATAAAGGAATACCAATTACTTTTTTTTGGTATCATTATTGCAGCTTAACTATATCTGTAGCTAAACTTGTTAAACAATAAGTAATTGCAAAATAAGAATGAAGGAATTTTCTGATACTCAAATAGCTTCATTAATTTTAGTGAACAAGAATATATACCTTTTTATGTGTTGCTATTATGATTAAAAGTAGTAGCAAGTGATGTTTATGATTTGTCAGTTGTTCTCTATGACGATTAAAACATTCCCATTCTTTTGTAAATGTAACCTCTGTCTACTGAATCACAAATTTCCTTGGATTATTAATTATCCTTTCATTACATAGGAGCCCTAGTGGTGTAGTGGTTAAGCGTTGGGCTGTGATCTGCATGGTCTGCAGTTTGAAACCACCAGGTTCCCAGAGGGAGAAAGACAAAGCTTTCTACTTCTATAAACAGAATCTTGGAAACCCACAGGGGGTCACTACGAGTCATTGTTGAATTGATGACAGTGAGGTGTTTTTTTTCTTTTCATTACATATTTCATCGTTGAAAATAGATGTTTTCCCATAATTGTATTCAATTGACAATGTTTTGACTTACTTCTTACTATAATAGAATCATATTGCCAAGTTGCTGGTCCCAGTGAAATTTGCATATGTATGTCACGTGAGATGTGAGAAAGTCAGTTGGCAAGTAAGTTTAAGATTACATTCTTTACCAAACAGCCCAGACTTGTACTTAACCAATATAAAATAGACTGGCAAAATTGGTTTTCCTTGGGAAGGTCCAAAGATGAATTGTACACTGTTAGTTAAAGCAAATTACTGGTTTTTCCCCATTTGATGTAACTTATTATCATGAATGATACAAACTCATATCTATGAGTTTTTTAATTTTCAGATTAGGCATATTTTGTGTCAGTAAATTAATCTAAACAGAGGTAATTTTTTTTCCTATGACTCTATTCCAGCAAGTAGTACAACATCCAGTGAAAAAAAGGAAAATTTTAAAGCATAATTTTCAAGACTGATGAGAATCATTATTATGCTATTTCTCTCCCTCTCTCTCTCCACACACACGTGTAATTTTAGTTCTGTATTACTTTACTTCACTTTTTTCTTCATATTACTTTATTTTATCATTTGATGTATGCAGGTCTCTGCTTTTACTAATGTCATTATAGCCTTATTAATGACTTTACTGAAATTCAGACAATGCAATGCTTTAAAATAAACATTACTTTTGAAAACATAATTTATGTGTTCTTTGAGTTCATTATTTTAGGTGACTAACGTCTTTTCAGAGGACAAAGAAAAAGAAGAAAGAAAACAATTTTCATACAAATTCTAAGTTTTCTGTTTGGAACTCTAAATTCTGTAGAACATTAGAATCAAATGAAGAATAATTCCATTGATTCCTATAAAAATGAATTGCAGGAATATAGAGCAACCTTTTTAATTCTTTGTAATAGACTATGAAAAATTATTTTATAAATATGTGGCCAGAAATTTGCACTGACCTTCATTAGCTGCTGAGGATGATAATTATAATATTCTAATCGCATTTTTTACTCTACTGTAATATCAAAAAGTTGATGCTTGTTAAAAACAGGTATTCTTCAAAAAAATGAACATCTGAGACATACATATTAGAAAATACTGTGCAATTAACATAAACAACAATAGACTCAAAAGTCACAATTGTGAGGATATTACAGGACCCAGCCTCATTTTTTCTGTTGTGCATAGGTTGCTGTGAGTTGGAACTAACTTTATGATCCATAACAATGACAATAACATACACAAGGAGAATTCAAAACGTTTGTTCAAAAAAACGCCTTTAAAAGATGATGGAATATGTTTTAAAATGTTAATTTTTAAAATGTGTATGTTGAAAAATGGATTTTTTCACAAATTTTTGAAGCTTCCTGGTATACATTTGTTAAATGTTGCTCTGGTTCCAAATTAAGGCCTTTCGTTTTATGAGAACTACATACCTGATAGATACAGGAAAAATAAATGAAATTCTCGATATTGAGGTCAACTTTATAAAGAATTTTCAGAATATTTTCCTGGAAAATACAATCCCACCTAATCTGTAAACTGTTGTTTGTCAAGAGGACTAAATTTCATTCTGTTGGGTGAAGATTTACAAAATAATGAAAGCAATTTTCCAATTAAACAATCACAATGTAACATAAAATATGCCATTTCCTCCCTGTGGTTTGCATTTCCATTCTTCTTTCTTTCCTGTCTCTTTCTTGTCCTTGGGTAAATGCTGCCCTTCTAATCTTAAATGGTTATTATTCTCCTTATAAACCTATTTGTTGTTTAACTGAAAATTGAGCCAGGGTGTTGAATTCATTGAGTCACCAGAAGGGTGAATAAGGGCCACAGTCACAAATGTTCCATCAGCCTCTATCCACCCAGTAAGCCTACCTTTCTTAAATGATTTTAAGTTTTCTTCCATATTTCTCCCACTCTGTTTCAAGATCTTCTAATGTAATCTCTTTCAGGACAGTTGGTAGTGGTAGTCATACATCATCTTATTCTGGCCCCATGATTGTGGAGGCTGATGTTTGCATGGTCCTTTAGTCCATTGAACTAATTGTTTCCATGGATCTGTGATTTTCTTCACTCTTCCTTCCTCCAGATGTGATGAGACCTGAGATGGCTTCTCATGAGATTGTAATACCCCAGTAACTATTCAGCAAAGTAGGATTTGTGGACAATGTTATGCCAAGTAGCCTTGGTGTCCCCCAAGACCATGATCCTGAGACCCCTGGCCCTGTGACTTATCCCCTAAACATGTTTGGTTATATCTAAGATGCTTCTGCAACATTCCCCTTGTATTCTCCACCACATTTATGAATATATTTACAACAGAAGTCAATACACATGTAGGAATATCCTCTGTCAAGCCCCATTCTTCCACACCCACTGAGCAGTGACATACTGGAGAGGGGACTAATTTGTAAAATCTATAGAATGTATCAATACCTCAACAACAAAAGGACAAATAATCTAACTAAGATAAAAGCAGAGGACATGAACAAGCACTTCACCAAAGATGACATTGAGATGGACAACAAAAATGACAAAATGCTCATGATTGGTAACCATTAGAGAGATGCACATCAAAACAATGAGATACCATCTAACCCCAACATTAATAACAAAGTCCAAAAAAACCCCAAAAATGCTGGTTAGGCTGTGGAGGTTAGGGTGTTGGTGAGGCTATATAAATTGAGCAACCATTGTGGAAAATATTATGACACTTCTTTAGAAGTTGGAAATGAAAATACCTGTAACAATTCCACTATTTGGTATATAGCCTAAAGAAATAAAAGCCATGGTATGACTACTTATATGTACACCAATTTTCATCACATTAGTATTAGCAATAGCAGAAATAGGAAACGACCTAAATACCTGCTAATGGAATAGTGGATAAACAAATTATGGTATACACACACAATAGAATACCACACAATGTTAAAGACTAAAGATAGATCTGAGAAATAATATGGTGAATGAAATCTACCACAAAAGGACAAATATTGTATGAAACTATGATTTAAAAGTCAAGAGATGGCTTTCACATAAAAGACATGTTCCTTGGTGGTTACAAGGAATGGGAAGGGAAAGGAGGGTAAATTACTACCTGACAGGTAGACATCTATTAACTTGGGTGAAGGGAGTACAATATAAGAGGAGAGTTACTCAGAAATTAGTCAGTTGAAGACACTAGGAAGAGAGCAAGACTTACAGACAAGAGAGGTAAACGCTGTGATATATACAATCCTGCAATAACCATGTAGATGTATGGTTAGAATAATGTTTTGTTTTTAAATTCACCTGTGTACTTCATTCCTTTGTGTGTATCAGTATTTCATTCCTCCTTATTGCCAAATAATTCCCCTTTTTTTGATATAACCTTATTTTCTTTATCTTCTAAGCAGTTGTTGGATTGTGTCGACACTTAAGTTGTTAGAAATAATGAATTTTCATGTATGTTTTTTGTACGGGAATATTTTTCATCACTTTTGAATAGATAACATAGAATCAGATATGTTAGGTAATAGGGGAGTTCCATATTTAACAGTCTGAGGAATTACCAAATTGTTAATCAAAAGAGTAGCATCATTTTATTTTCACACCAACAACATATAAGGGTTCAAATTTCTCCCACATCCTTGCCAATATTTGTTTTTATTTTTTTTACTATAATTATAGTGGGTATAAATTGGTATCACATTTGCTTATGATTTGCATTTCTCAGATAGATAAAAGAAGATGAGGATCACATCATTTGTATATTTGTCAAAAAAGTCTCTTCAAATTCTTTGCCTATTAAAACAACTTAGTTTAATAAAATCTATGTAACATGAAATTTGCCACTATGATGATTTTTAGTGTAAAATTAAGTGATATTTTATTCACAGTGTTGTGAATCCAAACCCTCAGCTACCTCCACAAGCGTTTTGATTGTCTAAATTTAAAAAATCAGCATTTCTTAAACAGTAACTCCCCATTCCTTTCTTTCCTCAAGCTCCAGTAACCCCTAATCTACTTTTGTCTGAAGGCATTTGCTTATTCTAAAATTTTAACATGAGAGATCATATACTATTTGTCTTTTTTCTAAGTTACTTCACTTAGTATATTGTTTTCCAGGTTCTTCCGTGTCATAGCATGAATCATAACTTCATTTCATTTTATGAATGAATAATATTATCTTAATTGCATTCATCATAAAAGGGGGATTTTATCATTTTGCTATTTGTTTTCGATGTATTTTAGGCCTATTCTATCCCTCATTTCTTCCCATGATGTTTTTATTTTCTGTTGTGAAAAAAGTAATTTCTTTCTGTGTAAACTTAAAAAAATATATAGTCATTGTTGTTCCCATAGGGATTATACTTAATAACCAAATTTATAGAAATCTAGTTTGAATTAATACCAATTTAACTT